CCGATCCGCACACGGGCACACACCCACCCAGGCTCAGCCCGCGGAAACACTAGCGGCCGCTGCGCTCGCCGGGCCGCCCCCTCCCCTCCCCCTCCCGGCCCGGGCGGGGGCGCGGGAGAAACGGTGACGTCAAGGGGCGCGCGGTGGCGGCACCTCCCCGCGCGCTAGTTAAAAAGAAGAAGAAAAGAGGGAGCGAAACATGAGAGGCTGTGCGAGACGCTGCAGCCGCCGGCAGAGGAGACCTCAGCATCCTCCGGATCCCAGCGCGGGCCCTGCCGCCGCCGGCCCCGCCGCCGCCGCCGCCGCTCCGGGGCCTGCTACGGTCTCCCCGCGACCGCTCCCGCGGCGCGGACAAGTGGAGCTCTGTGGCGGGCTTCTCCTCCGCGTCTGCCTCCTCCTCTGCCAACGCCTGCTCCTCCGCCCACGCCCCCGCCGCCGCCGCGAGCCCCTGACCCAGCTGACACTGGCACCGCTGCAGACGGTGCCACCCGCCCAGCCCGACCCCGCCGCTCGGGCTCCCCCCGGGCGCTGGCCCCCGCGCCGCGTCTTTTCTGCTTCGCAAAGTTGCATCGCGCGACAGATTCTCGCCCCCGCCACTTCCCGCTGCCTCTAGAGTGTCCCGCCCGCGGCAGAGCCCGCAGCCCCAAGAGCCCCGCCGGGCAGCGGCGCCCCCAGCCCAGCCCCGCGCGCCCAGCCCCGCCCGACGGCAGACGATGCTGAAGATGCTCTCCTTCAAGCTGCTGCTGCTGGCCGTGGCGCTGGGCTTCTTCGAAGGAGATGCCAAGTTTGGGGAAAAGGGCGAAGGGAGCGGAGCGCGGAGGAGAAGGTGCCTGAATGGGAACCCCCCGAAGCGCCTGAAAAGGAGAGACCGGCGGATGATGTCCCAGCTGGAGCTGCTGAGCGGGGGAGACGTGCTGTGCGGCGGCTTCTACCCGCGGCTGTCCTGCTGCCTGCGGAGTGACAGCCGGGCACTGGGGCGCCTGGACCCCAAGGTAGGCGCGCCCCGGCCTGGCGAGGCGAGATGGGCAGCAGGCTGGGTGGGGTTCCCGGTGGCTCGAGCCGAGCTGGGGCGCCCAGAAGAGCGAAACTTGCTCGGGGCGCTCTGGCGGGGGGGAACTTTTCTCCAGCGCTAGGGGGACTCCGTTGGGTTTCCGAGGGGTGCGCAGAGATTCGGAGCTGGGATGCTGCTGCGTTCTAGAAGCTGTCGGTCGCGGAGCAGGGACGCTGCCTGGTACCCGCGTCCTGGGCTGGGCACATATTTTCAAAGAATCGCGATGAACAGCGCGTGTTGGATCCAACTGCGTGTTGGGTCCAACAGGCATTGGCTGCGGTGAAACTGTAAATGAAGGTGGCTGTGGTTTCGGGTTTATTTTTCTAGGGTGAAAAGATTTGTGCCGTTTTCTCCACGTGCTCGGAGAGGGAGAGGGTTGGATCTTAAAGGATGGTGAAGCACGGTTGGTTTCCGATCCCCAGCCTGGTCGCAGGAGTGGGGCAGTGTCTTGCGTTACAATAGTTAAAACAGCGAAAGGAGACTGCCGCTTCTCTGGTTAAGCAGCCGACTAACTGGCGAAAGATTTTGCCCAGGCGTATTTATCACAGAAAACCGAGGCGATTCTCCGTCTCAGATTGTAACGTTTTAAACTTGACTTTGCATGGTAATTAGCTGTCGAGAAGGATCTATCTCTTCTAGAACTAGGAGTAATGGCATTTACATTTTCCTTGTGTGAAGTTTAAGCAAGTGTGTAGTGTGGGCTGAGTGTAAAGATAGGCTTAATTTTGAGGTTGCCCTGATGCAGTCACGCCTGCTATCTCCTCTGCGCTCCAAGTAAGACTGAGGGGTGGGGGGGGGGGAGGAGGGAGGGGCCACGTCATTAACAATCACAGCACGTGAAATAAACAATCAGGTGTCTTTGCTCCCCCCTCCCGCTCCCCATTTTAGGTTTAATTAAGAATTCCTCTGTTACAGCACTGCAGTTGTCAAGGTCTGAGACTCTTGGAAAACTTGTGCTTCTGTCATACTGGCCCAGGCATAATAAAAAAAATACCCAGGCTGAATCTAATTTTTATGCTCAGTTCACGGTAGATTTCACTCTATTCTCATGTAAACAGCTCCTACGAATCAACATATGTGTCTGGGTGGTATCTCTCACTTTGTTTTGTAACAAAAAGCCATATTGCATCATTTAATTTGCTCAAGTCATGCAAATAGGAAAAAATCAATAGGACAAAAAGGGGTCGACTTATCCTCCTCCCCACTAAACTGCTACCACACACAGAGTCCTGTTGCTTATGGCAAAAGAATAACAACAACACCATTGTGTTTGTTAGTTGGTTCACTAATGGGTGAAACCAGAGAACATCATTCTCTTTCAGTCCCCAGCCCTGTCCAAATGTTCATGCCTTTTGAGGGAGCATTTGTCCAACTCCCTCTATTCCCAAATGAGTGAGAACTGTCTTGCTGCAGGTTTTCAGCTGCAACTCTCTCTTTATTCTTACCATATGCAGCATTCGCCTGAGATTCAGAGACCAGATATTCCAGCATTTTATTCAAAACAATGTCATTAAGCTCCTGTGTTGTAATTGAATTAAATTACAAAATAGCTGCATTCACTTCATCTGCAGGGCTTACCAGGAACCCCAAAGAACCAGGCACCTCCGAGAAGGGTTTAGAAATACTTGCCATTAAGTCTCCCTGCGTGCAGTGTACATTACCTATGCGCCATCTGCAGACTCCTGCGTTACTGGACTCTTCAGGACGGGGACTGAAAAGTTTGTCTGAACTAAATGCAGTGGGGACCTGGAGGGAGGGGCAGCAGGCTGAAGGGAGTTATAACTCTTAGAAGAAGTTATGTAATTTTCGCAAAGAAATTATTCTTTAGGAAGCAATCTGCCAAGTTAGCTGTCCACATTCCTTTTCGTTTTACGCGCTTCCAATCTCCAACAAACCCCTACTCATTTGGAAAATGTGTCTGAATTAAATTTGGTGCACTGCACTGAGCTGGTTCCATTACAAGTGGTTTATAAACCAACAATACTCAAATTGTTCAAATCAGAGATTTGATATAGCTGTGCATAGGCATTCTTGACCTATGTTAGTTCTCAAGTTTTAATAGTTTTTAAAACATGTTATTTTATAATAAACTTCAGTGTTTCACTTTTCCCCCTAAGCCTTCCTGGCTTATAATATATGTTAGGGTCTTATTTCATTATGTATGTACAGGAGAGATGATGGCTATTTGAAAGGGCCCTTTTTTTGTTTATAAAAAACAAAATTCACGCCCCCCCCAGAAAGATTTCTGCAACTTCTGCAAAAACTATAGGAGTAGGTTTTTCCTCTGGGAAGACACTTCATTGCCAAACAGATAGTGCCAAACTAGGTAGGAATATTGAAAATGCTCAATTGAGCAATTAATTCCAGTTTCTGAGCAAACACATTTTCTTTGAGGGACTGAACTTGCGGTGAGTTCAATCATTTAACCCTGGTATTATGTTATTATGCTGTTGTAGTTTCATGTTTTGGTACATTTTAAGAAGATTGCGTGCGGACTCTCACTAGATGGTTAACTACGGTGACAAGTCAGGATTGCCAACATTTAGGAAGTCATATTGTCCTAGCAGTATTTTTGCAGCTCCCAAATGCAGCAGGCGCAAAGTATCTAATTCCCATTAGCCAAATTGAATCTGCAACCAGCTGAAATGCCCCCATTTTTAAAACTTAACTTGTAGCCACAAGGCACAGAAGCTCTCTCTACCTTGGGTGGTTTCACAGCCAAAGCTGTCAAGGAATGGGTGAAAAGTAATTGTTTTCAAGTGTGCCTTTTACAATCATTTGTTTGCTCTGGTTCTTTCAGGGACAAAGGCTATTGTTGAGCACATCCAACTAAACAAATAACTCATCCTGGGGTCCCTTTAACAGCTGCCTTAGTACAATGATCTATTTACATATTAGCCTAAAATTGAAACTGAACTCTTTAATGACATAATCCAGCGCTATAGTCCAGAGACACATGTGTTCTACCCAACAGCTGAACAACCTTGTCGGCATATGATTTTTAGAAATAACTTTTTGTCCCCCAACTGATCTTAAGGCGACATCTTAATATACTGTCGTGTATTTTCTCCTTTTGTCCGCTCATCGAACCCATGTGGGTGCCTTTTTATCCTCTTTGTTAAGTTCCTTGATAAATAAAGAGAAATACAGAAGGTCTCTGTCACCCGTTTTACTCTGGTTGATGAGCTATCGTGGTAGGCCAGCTTCAGTGGCAAGTCCAGTATTTATCTTACTTTCTTCCATGGATTTTACTTTTGTGTGACTAAAGATTAAAGGATGACCTGCCAGATGTTATAAATTAGTCAGCAAGAGCCACCGTCCTCTCTAGGCATGCTGTAGCCATGGTTCCAAGTTCTACCTGATTTCCCTTCTATTTCATTTAAAACACTATAATTGCATGGCTTTGTGGATGGCTTTTAAAATCAAAACAGGAAATTTGTTGAAATTTCTTCTTAAGATTGTTGGCATTGTCAGACATAAATTTAAGGACAGAAACCTGTTGGCAAGAGAGAAGAAAAAGCAACCTATGCACCCCAGGACTCATCTGTCTAAAACAGGGCTGCAGCTTGGGCTGAGTGGGTTTAATTGACTTCAGTAAGACTAGTGGTTCATTGAAAGCACAGCAGAATGATAGCTCTATCTCTCTTCAAATAGGTATTTACACTGCAGACCTCACACAGAGCAAAATGTTACCATCCTGCTGGGCTGGAACAGCATGCAACTTTACAAAGAATATTATTCTACTCTATTGCAGATAATTTATTGAATCCCATTTCTGAAACTTTGGATGGGAGAGCTTGTGGCCAGGACACATTCCAAAAATTGTAAAAGACAAAATTCTTTAGGCACTAAAATCAAGTTCTTCCTGGATAGCAGCTGGGAGAGTATGTGGGGATCGGTCTGTTTCAGCTATAAAAGTGGAAGCGAGCCTATATTCTCCACAAAACCAAAGGTAATTACATTCCAGTTTTCCAGGCAGCAGAGGTGCTTCAGCCTGCCGCTGCTGTGCTTACTGGATGGCTACCTCGATAAATAAAAGGAGCAAAGGGGAACAGTATTAATACTGAAGTGAGCTGCCGAGGTGTGCCAGAGGATGGACAATAAAAGACATTTAAAACATTCTTGGAATGCAAATTCTAAGTGTCTGGTGTATGTTTGCTTGAAGAAAAAAAAAACACTTGAACAGTTAAGCAATTTTCATTAAATTGATAAAAATCAAAATGTCAATAAAATTATGACTAATAACTTTTCTGAGGGCCGTAGGCAGTCAGAACCTACCATATACTCTTCTGAAACAGGTAACTTCTGTTAGACTTAATTACTGCAGGCTAACATTTTATTTAGCAAGCTTGCAGTCAGCGATTTTTTTTTTTTTTAGTTGCTCTGTTCTTTCAGGTCCAGATTTTGTGATCACCCAGAATATCTCTATTCTAAAATAAATAAATAAGAATCCATGCCATATACTCTAATTAGAACATCAACTTGTGAATGAAATATTTGCATCCAACAATGATCTAGAGTTTAAAATATTAATTTCAGTTCCTGGTTCCAAAGAAATAAGTATAAATATTGTTCTATAAACTGGAGAAGTATCAGATTCAATCCCATCATGGTGTTTTTCAATATGAAAAATCACTCCTTGATTTAGACAGTGCTACATTTCGTGTCTCAAAACGGTCTTCTGTATTTTTTAGAGGCATGCCTGAAGTCAGCCTTTTAGAACTAGTGCTAAACTCCAAGACCCATTTTATCAACAAATTACTAACCTCGTAGCCCCCTCTTTAATACTGTGTTAATAATGAGAAAAGTATGCCTTTTTCAGTAAAACTCACTTAAATACTATACAGCAGCACTTTCATGAAACGCTGTGTTTATTCAATCATGTAGCATACCTGAGGAGCTAGTTAGAAAGTTTTTCCTGGCTAAGATATAATGAATAACAAAAATAGGTCTTAAACCTATTTGATTCAGCTTCAGATAGAAATTTTATAAAACTTGAAAGGGAGAGATTTCCCCCAAGCTAGTAACTTTCCCACTGTAATCTACACATCAAAAATTAATAGTTGAAAAATGTCATTCAAATAACAGCCATGGTTTGATATCATATTAAGAATTCTAGGAGTGAACTAGTCTTACCTGAGACACACATAAGCCCTGTCCCAAGTCTTTGCTTTCCCTACAGATGGAAAAAGATAGTTGGAACTTCAAGTTATATATCCGTCTGTATATACCCAGTTGAAGCAAAATGAAGTGATAAAGAATAAAGAGCATCAGAATAATTGTCACTTAACTGTTTGCACCTGAAACACACGAACAGACTGATTAGCAAGAGTCAGACCCACCTTGGGGCATCCCTGCTCCAGTCTTGTCCATCTTAACCCAGGAGACTTGACTTAGAGCCTCATAAGTGCATCTGGATTGTGATGGGGTCATTTTCTTTTGACAGCTGCTTGGGTTACTTCCCCCTTCGACTCACCTGATCACGGAGGGGGAGTGGGGGGATCAAAAAACTCAACCTAACTTCACGTACTAAAAAACTTTCTTTCTGATTTATGACTTTCAGATCTTTTCTGTCACCAACAACACAGAATGTGGGAACTTACTGGAGGAAATCAAGTGTGCACTTTGCTCACCACATTCCCAAAGCCTGTTCCACTCCCCTGAGAGAGAAGCCTTGGAAAGAGACCTTGTACTGCCCCTGCTCTGTAAAGACTATTGCAAAGAATTCTTTTATACTTGCCGTGGACATATTCCAGGTAAAAATAAGTAAAAGGAACATACATTGAAAAAAAAAAAAAAAACTCCTGAAGAATATAGTTTCAAGATATCTATTCTTAAATGCTGGCTTATGAGATGTAAAATTTATCTCACCTTACAAAATACCTATTTTACCTAAATTCGAAACCCTTTATTGCTGCTAAAGGGATTACGGTCATTTCCGTCTACAAATGGTGGGTTGGGTTTTTTGCCAAGTTTTATGTTTCTTGTGAAGTTGATACGCAGTTGGTCATCTTCATACACGTTGGATTATCAGCCCGAGTTTCTTCTTGGTGTCTTTACCCTTCGGCGTCAGTGTCAAGGTGGTTTCCTCTCCTGCATGGTTGAGAGTGGAGGGCAGATTGGCCCTGCCTTTTAAAAGTATGATAAAAATCCAAAAAGATGGCATTGGACAAAGCATCATCCCCTAGAATGATCCATTTACTCCCCAAAGCCCCTAGGAAGCAGGTAGGAACGGCGGGTGGCCTCCACCGGAGAGGCAGGGAAGGCTGCGCTTTGGGGAGGAGCTTGATGGCCCAAGTTGTGCAGCGAGAAGGAAGCCGACAGGGCCGATGTCACAAGTCCACCCAGTCACCATCACATTTCGGACCCTCATAAATATCGAGAGCCTCGGGCATTGGCTACTTCACCATCAGAAGTTTGCAAGATTTGGCTGTGGTGGTTTTAATGGGAGGAATCAACAGAGGTAGAAAAGAATTTAACGAGGCAGATTCTGTTTAGTTAGGCAAAGGCACACGCAAACAAATCTACTGCAGCTAACAGTTTATAAGACTAAAGGCATTCCATAAAAAGACCGGCTTTAAGAACTGGCTGTAGGATGCACTGGGAACATTTCTTTTTCTCTGACCCAGAAAAGTATAGATTTGTATTTTTTAAAGTTCTCTTAATACCCTAAGAAAACATTTTGACTAGGGGTGCTGACTTCCTTTGCAGGACCATGACATGTACCTAAACCTTTTCTATGTGAAAATATTATTATTGTCTTTAGAAACTACAACCATGTCTCTGAGACTTTTCTAAAAACCAGCTGCTTCTTCCTCTTCATAACATTCCCCAAAGCAAAGTGGGATAAGTCACGGGGGCTCCATGGCTAGGGGTCGGGGGAGCGATAGCAGATTATGTACTTTTTAAGACTGTGGCAGATTTCAAGTCTCACAGGCTTTCCCTCCCCGTGGGAGGCTCACAGTGCCATGTGCTATAGGCCCTGGCGTTTCCATCCACCTCTCTGTACTCAAGCTAAATACAGCTATGCTGGATTTGGGGAGGTTCACCTCTTGGGAGCTTCATGGATTTCAAGTTATTTTAACTTCCCAGTCAGACCCCAGGCCCCTATCCTCAGAAAGACAGAGCACAGCAGACAGCTCAGGAGTTAGAATGGCAAGGACCTCACTCCCCAGATCAACATATGTGGTGACGAATGACAAATTTATTTTTCTACAAAGTTTGTATATGTGTAAAACTGCTGAAGCGCATCAAGATGTCAAGTGCTCTTGGTGGCCACCCAGGCCGCCTGGAAAGATAACCAGATGAAAGCACAGTGCCGGCCGCGGGCAGCCCAGTGGCTTCCAGGGACGGCCCCGCCGGCTGTGGCTGCGAGACGGGCTTGCGCTGCCTGGCGGACCGGCGCCTTCCTTCCAAAAGCTGGTCCCCAAGGTGAGCTGGCACATGTCCTCTGGGCCCCTTACAGTAACCAGTTCCTCAGCCAGGCTGACGCTGGCTGGCAGGTTACGGGGTCCTAAAGTCTGATCAATTTGAGCCTGTACCCCCAGCACAGCCTGTACCCCCAACACAGAAGTCTTTAGAATTCTAGAACACTCCTACTTCAGAATTGCTCTAAAAGCCAACTTGTAAGTTTTTATTATTATTATTATTTTTACCTTCTTCAGTCTATTTACTGGCATGGTTTACTTTTCTCTGAGGTTTGAAATTGTGAAAAATAAGTTCTTTGTGATTCTTTTTATGAGGGACTATGTTTGGTTATTCTTATTCATAATCTTATCTTCCTGAAAATCAAAACCACAGGAAGTGAGTGACCCTAAGGGGTGTATTTGGGAAGAGAAGAATCATGGAGGGAGTTAGGAGAGAAAAAAGAATCCCTAAGACAGCTTCATTTGCCACCCACAGCCCAGTGCATATGGACATAAATATTAAATGACCTATCCCTTGGCTTCACTTTTATGGCCTGAAGAGAACTCTGGCCTCTTTGAAATATATGTGTAGCTGAAAGATAGCTACTTTCCCGAGGGTTCCATTCAGAAATATTCATGATGTGCTTATCCCCACAGATGAGAAAAGAAGTTACAGAACAATGAGTGAAATGACACTACTTTTATATTAATGTTAATATTCTCCCAGTTGTGAATATGCATAGGGAAGTAAACTCTTAAAATTTCTAAAAATGCCAAAATTTTATTTAAAGAGAAACATAGAAACTCCTTGCTCAACACTGCAGGTCTCTTCTCCTGCCCGGGTGCCGCTGGCTGAATGAGAGCGCAGCACACGCCAGGGAGGCCCAGTCTCCGGCTCTGCCTCACCTTCACTCATTATCACAGCGATTCTTATCACTGTCCACTGCTATTGCTTCAGCTCTAGGTTACTGTCGTGTGAACTGTCTGTCTACAATTAGTTCAGTTGGTTTAATCCTGTAGCTAATGAGGCCAAGGTCAAGGGCTTGAGTCTACTGAGTTTCTCTAGTCCACAGGCACAGCTGACCTAGGTCAGGCATCTTGCACATGTGTCTGATTAGGCCCCAGGAGAAAGGATGGATTGACGCATCAAAATCTACACATTCTCGTAGAATTAATGCCCGCCTGTCTAGACCTTCCTGAGAGAATTTGTGTTTTGCTTTTTTCCCTTAACATGAACAGTGCATATAATGAGGAAAAAGAACTTGGCTTTAGCATCCAAGCTGAGAGAAAGAACTTGGAACCCTTTAGAAAATCTGCAGTTACCTGTCAGTATCTTTTTTTTTCTTAAAGGTTTATTTATGTATGCATACAGAAATGGGTTACTGCCCAGAGGTATAGGGGGTGAGAGGATTCACCAGAGACAGAGTGGGAGCAGAACAGGCAGATAGACAAAGTGCACTGCTGAGGGGAGCAGTGGGTGAGGCAGGAGAGTTCGGTTGCGCCCTGTGGGTCAGCTCCGGCACTGGGGATCGAACTGAGACTGAAGTGACTGTGGCCAGCTTGCAATGCTGCACCTTAACCTGCTGCACCACCACGGAGGGTCCAGTATTTTTTTTTTTAATAGAATCACCATTGCTTTACATCCTTGCTAGCATGTTTTGACAGGATATTGTTTCTCTTCTCAGCAGCAGCCACTGTGTAGCCTTGCCACAAGCCAAACACCCAGGGTCTGCTGTGCTCTCTCCTAGGAAGACTTATGGTATAAAAGACTGGACTGAAGAGCCAGGAGAATAGTTCCCTGTCCAAGATAGCTGATCAGTTATCAGGTGTTTTTAGAAATGCAGCTGTTGGAACCATCAGCTCTTTCCTCATTCATAAACTTGACTGTGTGATGGTGACTCGTGGGGGGACAGGCTCACCTCAGTTAAAGGCCTTCTGGTGTGTCTCCAGATGTCAGGGGACAGGGCTACCACTTGGTACATCAGCTCTTCCCTGACAATAGATGTTAGTCCAGTGTCCCCAAACCAGGTCCCTCTGAGCGCATCACAGAAAGGCATCAATTATTTTTCATTGTCCGCAAAATCGAATCGCTTAAGATAAATGTTAGTAAAAGCATAGGGTATTTCAATACAAATATGATCATTAAAAAAAAAGATCATATTTTTATGTAAACACCTTCCCCGTTGGCTCCCTCATTCACTGTTTGATTATTCAGTTTGTCTAAATTCTGTAAAAAAGCTAGGACAAGAGTCATTACTAATGCTGTATGTTTTTTTACTTCATTTTTGCTCAAAGAGCCTGGTACCTCTGCAGCCAGAGTTTATGAATCTGCACTCATTAATCATTCCATTTGAAAATAATTTTTCATTTCCTCATGTTTGTCCCCAGCTAATAATTCATTACAAAATGGAACCAGCCACTAGCATTGTTCCTTCATTTCCTCCAAGATGGCATTGGTTTACAGCTTGTTATGCTGGATACTGATCATTTCTTAAAATTTGTTCTGCATTATGCTTTGAAGTTTTTCTGGGATCCCCCACAGGCAAACATCACATTAAAGCAAAATTTCTCTTCACACATTTTGTTATAAATATACCCTTAATAGGGCAGTCTTCCTTCATGCATAATACTGGCATGGAGATCTTGCTGCCTGATGTGTGTGTATTTGTGTGTGTGTGTACCCAAATATGCAAAACAATCTAGCTCAAAACTGTGTGAAAAGTTTCATTTAGTAGCTCTGTTTCCATCTCTTTTACCTCAGATACACTTGTTGAATGGACTAAGCATGTTCATCTGTTGCTATGTGCTTAGCCATTAGAGAATGGAAGGAAAAGACGAAGATGAGTAAATGAGGCCATAGCCTTTATTCCTCGCCCCCATTGCTAATCCCAGAATTTGTTTCAAAGGAAAATAACCCAGCTGCCAGGCCGCATCCCCACACACCGCCCCCTCCCAGGATATCTGCTGTTATTTGCCTGCTTCCCAGAGAGCTGTTTCCCAATGGTCTAGTCTAATGTCGGCCTTGAAGAGTCTGCCTCAGAAATTTAGGAGTCATACATCTTACCCAAAAGCGAGGTTAAAGTGCACATAAAGTGTGAGCCACTTGGGACTTTCAGACGCGAAGGTTAGTTTTTGGTTTGAGGGACCTTGGTCAAGCTCATGGAAAATAAACGCTCAGTCTCTTTCTTGTTCCATTCATAATTCGCATTTGCTTGTCCCCCAGATTCTTCTTAGAAATCCTTGCAGACCTAGATTCTTTACACAACTTCTGGCCTTCACCGAAGCTACCAGGTGCCCTGCCAAATTGGGGTAGATGATAGAGGGACCATCGTCTAATTTGTTGGATAAACATGCATGAACTGGGAAGCAGGAGTTCAGAGCACTGTATTAAATCAGCTCTGGTGGCAGTGTCATTTTAAGAGCAGAAGTCATCAGACTATGGAAGCTGATCATCAATAGACCCTTTTCCCCCAAGTCAATACTGTTACATCAGGATCTTTGTTGCCACTTTGTGGGGGAAGCATGATGAGGGACATAGCAGTCAGGGTGCAGGTTTGCAAGGCGAGACTCTGCTATTTGAATAGAGGTTCTTGTGCCATTTGTTGAAAGAACACAGGTGAGTGAAAGTTGACCATGCCTCAGTGGTATGAGGAGCAAGGACCGGAGGTTGGAGTAAGAGTGGGGGACAGCCTTTACAAGGAACAGGGATGGGGACATTGAGACCATTTGCATCAGTGAAGTATTTGATGTCATCAGAGGCAGAATTATCCCGAGACCACCATGGAGATAGTCATGAAAACGGGTCAACAGCAGCTTAGGCGTCCTGGGCCTGCCTCAAGATACGGGCCATATTCTGTAGGTTGTCAAGGAGTGCCCTGCTGTGATTTGCACATAGCAAGTAGGTCACAATCGTCCATGAGTGGCTGGCTAGTAGTCAGCACATAGAAACCCTTATTAACTCCAATTGCAAATGTAATGTTGAACTTTTTCGTTGTCGTAAAGACCTCTTCTAGGTCAAATACAACTGGCTTTAATTGATTAAAGTTCATGATATGTAAGAAAAGAATCTTTCATGTTCTATTATGTAAGTCTATGTTACCTTTTTATTTTGCTTTTTCACTTTTTATTTTTCAGTGAGTAGTGGTATGTCAACTATTCTGCTTGAGATTGAAGGGATGTTTGAAATACAACTTTTATATTACAAAATATTCATTGTCTCCAGCATGTGAGATGCAGGAAGAGGGCACTTAAGCATTTGTATCAGTTGATTCCCATAAGTTCACTGCTTTTTCATCACAATGAGTGGGTCACTTACGTAGGCATACAATAACTTTGGGTAGTCCTTAGATTTATTACTTAGTCATATGTCAATGACAGTACAATAAGGATTGTACAGTGGTTCTTGATGGCCTTTCTCTTGATTCTGGTTTGTTCCTAGGAGTTGCTTGAGGCTGTAGGGGGAAAATGACCTGGGGAAGCCTGAGAATAGGGTCAATGCAGTAAATGACAAGGTTGACGTTGGGTTTGTAGTGTATGTTCTGAGACTTTTAAAAGACCCAATATGTTGTTAATTGGAATGTAATTCTTAAATTTTGGTTTGGAAAAAAAGAAATGGAAGGCCCAAGCCAAAAGGTTGTATTCGTTCCTTTCCTTTTTGTCTATGTATTTTCCTAGAATAAACATCTGGTCCTTAAAAACTGTCTACTGACACTGTATCTTTTCAATGTGGGGATTCTACTGTGACACTAAGTATGTCTGATGAGTCTTTCTGTATCTTTTAAAGGTTTCCTTCAAACTACTGCTGAGGAGTTTTGCTTTTATTATGCAAGAAAAGATGGTGGTTTGTGCTTTCCGGATTTTCCAAGAAAACAAATTAGAGGCCCAGCCTCTAACTACTTGGACCAGATGGAAGAATATGAGAAAATGGAGGAGATCAGCAGGTTCATAAAGATAAATGCTCTTTAACCGTTTAGAAAACCCAGCTGACAAGTCTTGTGATTTCTGACAGTGAATCCACTGTGCTTCTGTCCAGCAGCTTTGTCCTTCAAGTGTCTTTCTCTTGTCCTGTTTGATCATTTGTTTCTCTAAAATCATATTAGCTTAAATGCTTTTAATGCGTGGCTACTAATCTTCTCTTATGAGCGTGGCTTCCCTATGATTCATGTGAACTTTATGAGGATCGTTTCAAACTTGAATTTTATAATTGTTGTTAGCTTAGTGCTATGGAAATATTCAGCGTAATTATTATTAGCAAATCAGAGTTTTATAAATAGACCTTAGAACTTTCTCTCTGAGTACCTTTCAGTAAGATTTAATGATTGGGAGTAAAGCTAATTTTAATTATAGTCACTGAAAAGTGAGGTGAGCTCAGGAAACTTTAAAATACATACCTGTTTTGATTCTCTCTTTTACTTTTGGAGAGAAGGCTGCTTTGTTTGCCTCCATTGAAATGAATTTAAAAGAAGCACTTGAGTCATAATGTGACCTGAGGTTAGCAGCGCTTCATGGTTCCAAAGCCATTGATTCTGGGGAAATGTATTTAGAAAAAGATGCCCACTGCGTCCCTCGCCTTCTTCATCCCAAGCAAAGCTTACTGGTTTTCTTTAATTTGTTTAGAAAGCACAAACACAACTGCTTCTGTGTTCAGGAGGTCGTAAGCGGACTGCGCCAGCCGGTGGGGGCTGTGCACAGCAGCGATGGCTCGCACCGGCTCTTCATTCTGGAAAAGGAGGGGTTCGTGAAAATACTCACCCCCGAAGGAGAAATTTTCAAGGAGCCTTATTTGGACATTCACAAACTTGTTCAAAGTGGAATAAAGGTTGGCTTTTTAAATTTTATTTCTCTTTGCTCTGGCCATGTTGATTTTATTTTAGTGTTCTCCTCCGGGAAGGTATTACTTTACAATAAATCAAAGGCTGTTGAGGGAGACACATCAGGGAGCAGTCATTATGGCAACTGCACTGAGACAGTGGCATTCACTTTTTAATGCTACGTGGTGACTAGCAAGCAGGGCAATCAGACCGGTGTCTTGATGTTTCCCCGAAGTAATTTACACAATTTAATTCTTTGTTTGATAAAATGTTTAAATGCTTTTTTTTTTTTTTTAAACCAGGCATTCTACTTAGAATTGTGTGTCAGCATTTGCTAGGGGAAATGGTTTTTGGGTTATTTTAGCAACTGCAAAGTATTCTCTCATTGCATCGGGACTTGGGTCTTTGTCATAAAAAGCATTACTTACACTGTGCCTGCCTTGTACTGTACAGAGTTTTCAAGGTAAGTCAAGTACTTTTACCTGAAAGTAGCCATCTTTATACTCCTTAGGAACATCTAAACATCTATTGCCTTTTCCATGTCTCCAACGTGGAGTCTCATGTTAAATACCCCTGCAGGTGTGTAGAGAAAATTGTCAAATGTGTTTCATGAGCGTCCACAGTTCAGAAAGTAGCTTCTGCAGTTCAGCCCTGTGGGTTGACTCCTCGCTACTTCAGAATGAAGCAAAGTAACAGTGTGATCTGGGAAGAACAGGCTATCCTTTTTACTTCTTCCCAGGAAAAAAATGAAGGGAGGATGTGCACTCTTTCACCCATATAGAAATAAACTCCTTGCTTTTTTGAGCTCTACTCAAAGACCAGAACCTCAAAAGCAGAAGTCAGTAAAAAAAAAAAACCATAATTGATGCCTACATACCGCTACCTTTAGGCTTCTGCTTGTACCACCATTAGAGTGAGAACCAGGGACTGACATTGTCTTAGGGTCCGCTAACCCTAGCTCTTGTCGTGATTGGGAATGCAGGAGAGAAGTGCCTCTGGTTGTGGGGTCCTTAGGGAAAGGACGTTGGCACCAAGGCATCAATGATTAGGAAAAAGCCATTTAACGCAATGATTCCAACTTTTTCCCAGTAAAGCTTTTCATTAAAATCCACAGCCAGTGACAAGCAGTCTCTTAGAATGAAGCATTAGTGATTAGTGATGTGCGCCTCAGAGTCCCAGAAATACACGCCGTATTCTGTAGTGTGTCCGTAACTCGCCAACAGCAAGGCCTGAGGGGCGGCTCCTCAGAGACGTGGAAGCAGCATTATCCGCTCATGGCAGGAGATTGTGTCTACCTACAAGTGTTAAACATGTTGTCTCTAAAAGAAGAAATGAGGGAAAGTATTTTTTAAAGTCTGTAGCCTATAGTCTCACCAATTTAACTATTAGAGTTTGGGGATACATTCTTCCAGTTTTAACATTAAAATTAAGTGACTCCTGAATACAAAGGAAATGTGGACATCTGCAGAAACCCACAAGAAGAACATACTAGGTTATCTTGTAAGCAGTTTTAAAATAAATTCAAAGGCAAACCATCTATGTATTTTCCACCTCCTCATTCCACCTAACAGTATAACTTCAGTATATTCCCAGATTTGGAACCTTTTCCCCCACTCTGAGTTTTTCTCTCTTTTGGGTGGTCCATGTGCTTACATTGAGATGTTCAAGATGACGTCATCCTTTTCTGTTTACGACCATAAGTAGTGGCATTTGTCATTCTCGCACAAGTTCTGTCACTGGTCCTTGATATTCTTTCACCAACAGAGAATTATTGAATGTGAGAGCGAACACCATGACACACCGCACGTCTTCATCAGCTAGGAAGGTTGGCCTTTCTCTTAATGTCCATGGAACTCCCATGAGAAGCCAAATGTTAGAGGTTTCTGTTGACAATTTGCTCTCAAGTATAATGTTTTCAAGCACTTGAATTAATAAGACAGTTCTCAAATATCTTTCAAATTAAAAAATGTTAATATTTAAAAGATAGACCTGATAAAACACAGGTGTAAGAAAGGACTTAGATTACCTGAAAATTTCATTATGAAAGTGAGAAACTGTCGTTTCGTTTCTTCTGTGGAAAGATTGTCTTCCTTTTAATTCCTTTACTCTGCAGTTCCTTGGTTTCTGTGTGTGCCATCCTTTGGGATACACTACAAAGGTTCATCTTCTCTGACATTTCATGATATGATGAAAATCGTCTGAGCCAGGTTGTGACTGCTGGGTATGTGTCCTGCACATCTCCAGGAATTTTCCAAACCCCGTTTGGCCCTCCTTCCCTAGGAGAGTTCCAGGACTTCTGGGCCATTCCAGAAGTCCTTCGTAATCCATTATTCTATATATGTAGAATTTATAATATGACATATTTTAAAGTGCAATATATTGCATTCCTTCGGTATTTATTATTCCCATGATGTCAGTAAGATAGGAATATTTGAATTTGTTCAGTATAATGAATAACAAGACCACGTCTTTATCAGCTTATGCTACAGATGGCCTTTCTCTTAATGCCTATGGAACTCCCAGGAGAAGCCAAATGTTAGAGGTTACTGTTGGCTTGGGGCCAACACATTCAGGAGCTGAACATACCACTGAATCTTGTGGTAGGCTCTTTAGAGATTTCTGTAAGTCCTGTAGGGAAAACATTTCACTGTAGCTTTTATTCAAGCTTCTTTAGAGACATGAGTAGTGTGTTCATGACAGTATTCTGTTTGCCAACAGTATTTTACATAATAATGCAAGTCAGAACTTTCATAAACCGTTGTATCTACCACTTCTCTATTCTTTTGGCTTTAAGATCCAAAGATTGAGCTTAGAGCTGCCTTAACAAGCCAAGCTACAGACTGCAATACTCAGGCCACAGAATTAATGATATACTTTCAACCCAAATTTCATATGTTGACATGATAACAAGACAAACCACAGTGGAGACACCCACATGACATTAATTAATGACCAGTAGAAGTATATTAAATCAGGCCTGCAGAGGGACTCCTGGTTACAACAGATTCTAAAAGCTAATCTGGCTATAAGGGAAACTGGAATCCTTTTCTGCTAATTGTCAGTTAGGAATTGACAGTGATGGGTCAGTTCTTGGTTGGTCTCCTTACGCCTCTCTCAGCTCTGATCTTTTGAGACATCAGCAAAGAATATATCATACAGGAAACCTGGACACCTTCCCTCAGTAGGTCTGGACGGAAGCTGTGCATATGATGTCTTGTTATTAAACACCCAGATGGTACAGCCTGTATTTATAGCGTCCAGCATGCTAGCTATCTACATTTCACTGGGCAAAAGTGATGTGTAAAAAATTGCACAGCCCAAGCTAAAGAATTGGCTTCTTTTTGCTAACGGAAATGAAATGTGGACGTGGGCTAATGAAATAACTGCTATGCCATGTGAATTTCAACTGTCACTTCACTTAAGAGGAGTTGATTCCAACCTAGAGGACAGATTATATACTTGGCAATTTTATAATTTTGTAATAATGAAATAATTATAAAATGATTATTTAAGAATTGTAAAATTGCCAAGCGAAGAGTGAATCAAATATATTTTAAACATTAATAGTGACTTGATAGCCCTTTGGTGACAGGGCACTCTAGGAACTGACTGCTAACAGTGACTCTGCACAATGGCCTGGTGCCCAACTGATGAACAAGCTCGCACATCTTCATTGTGGGGCAGGGAGGAGGGAAAAACCTGTGTGTTGGTTTTTGTTGTTGCTATTGCTGTTTTATCCCAAAGAAGGACATTATAAAAATTTATAGTAGCTCCAACGACGGTTGGGGGGGGGGGACTTCTTTAAGAAGCTGGTGATTTGAAATCTTTAAATTAAGCATATATGTGAATTTTGAGTCAGAACTTCTGACACGTTTAGGACCAACTACATGAAGTCCTTGGGGGAATGATAGACCTGTGGTTCTCACGATGACTGCGCAGTAGAACCTTTCAAAAAATCCATTGCCTCAGTTGAATCAGAATAGCTGGGGTGGGAACCCAGTATTTTGAAAGCTTTTCTGGAGGATTTCAATGCGTAGCCAATGAGACACCACCAGTTAGAGCAGGACCCTTGTCACTGAGAGCTTATCTGCTCTGGTCACTGAGAGCTTGCTCTGCCCCGGTCACTTACAGCTTGCTCTGCCCAATCTCTGCTCAAGTCCTTTTAATGACAGGACCCCTGGGAACGAATGTCTGGACACCATTGTCATTTGTCCTGTCCCTTTTGCCACTGACTTGGCCTGCACATGTCACCTGTCCATTCTGAGTGATGTATTAACTCTGCAGCATATGAGCTTCTCGATAGAAAGTTGTTTTAAGTGTTATTTAAAAACCTAACAATTCTAATTGGGCAACTTTGCCGACGATGATTGGCCTACTTGGGTTCCTTTTTGGAATCTAGTGCTCAGGAAATTGGCAAATGGTGTCGTTTCTGCCTAAAATAAGGAGTTGGCCCGAGAGCTCTAAACCCTTGTGGAAAATGGCAAGGACCCGCTGAAGCCCCTCTCAGTGTGGTTTTACCAGACTCCTCCACCGACCTAGCGTCTGAAAAGAGCCCTAGCTTTGGTGCACCTGTGAGACCTACAAACACCGACCCTGCCACTCCCTCTCGGTGCTCTCAGGTGCTACAGGTTGCTCCCAGGTGCCAGGAGCAGCAGGAGGCCGGAGCGGTGGCAACGCAGGCAGCAAAGCCAAAAGCCTTGTCCATCCTTGGAACAAGAGCACCGGACTCCCGTCCCTGTCGTCTGCTCGGACGCTGGTTTCAAAGCTGCTTTTGGAAATGGTCCTTTTACCAGAGGAGGAAGATACGCAAGGCTGAAAGCTGCTGCGTGCCTGATGACTGAGTCCCTGAGGTGGTCTCTTGAGAGACAGTGGCCAGGGCACGCAGGAGCTAGACAGAATTTAGGGGTGCAGGGGGCCAGCCCCTGCAGGGCAGCCTCTGACTTCTCTCGCTTGTAATTCACATGCACATGGAAAGTGTCCTGACCCCGGTCGTTGTCACCACCGGGAT